ACATGTACCCTAGAACTTAAAGTATAATAATAATAATAAATAAATAAATAATAAGAAAGCCCTGACCATGAAGAAATATGAAACTATTTGAGGAACACAGTGAAAGAGAAGGAAGAGTGGTGAAGGATGAGGTCAGATACAGAGACAAGAGCCAAACAATATAGGGCATTAGGACATAGGCAAAGAGTTTGTAATTTTTTTAGTGCAATGATAATTTCTTGGTTAGCTGTATGCAGGAGCATGACATGGTCTGATTCAGCTTTTGTTGGTTGCTCTAGTGGCGGTGAAAGGGATGACTGGGAGTGGGGTGGTATGGAAGAGGGAGGCTCCTGCCACAGTCAGGGTCTGTAGGATGATAGCCCGCCCCCAGAGTGGTGATAGTGGCAAGGGACGAAGCTGAGCAGAGTAGGGCTATATTTTGTAGAAAGACTTGTTGTAGTAGATAAGGGTTGGGGCTCGAGTGGGGAAAGAAAGAGAGGTATTCTGATTCCCAGGTTTTTGGTTGCCTTTGTTTGTTTTTATTTTTTTATTTTTTTATTTTTTTATTTATTATTTTTTTTTTACAGAAAAAAATGTTTTATAATGTTTAATGACTATGATATTTAAAATTACAAAGTAGGAATACTGGACATTTTTCTTTTTTTTTTTAAATTTATTTATTATTATTATACTTTAAGTTGTAGGGTACATGTGCATAACGTGCAGGTTTGTTACATATGTATACTTGTGCCATGTTGGTGTGCTGCACCCATCAACTTGTCATTTACATCAGGTATAACTCCCAATGCAATCCCTCCCCCCTCCCCCCTCCCCATGACAGGCCCCTGTGTGTGATGTTCCCCTTCCTGAGTCCAAGTGATCTCATTGTTCAGTTCCCACCTATGAGTGAGAACATGCGGTGTTTGGTTTTCTGTTCTTGTGATAGATTGCTAAGAATGATGGTTTCCAGCTGCATCCATGTCCCTACAAAGGACACAAACTCATCCTTTTTGATGGCTGCATAGTATTCCATGGTGTATATGTGCCACATTTTCTTAATCCAATCTGTCACTGATGGACATTTGGGTTGATTCCAAGTCTTTGCTATTGTGAATAGTGCTGCAATAAACATACGAGTGCATGTGTCTTTATAGCAGCATAATTTATAATCCTTTGGGTATATACCCAGTAATGGGATGGCTGGGTCATATGGTACATCTAGTTCTAGATCCTTGAGGAATCGCCATACTGTTTTCCATAATGGTTGAACTAGTTTACAATCCCACCAACAGTGTAAAAGTGTTCCTATTTCTCCACAGCCTCTCCAGCACCTGTTGTTTCCTGACTTTTGAATGATCGCCATTCTAACTGGTGTGAGATGGTATCTCATTGTGGTTTTCATTTGCATTTCTCTGATGGCCAGTGATGATGAGCATTTTTTCATGTGTCTGTTGGCTGTATGAATGTCTTCTTTTGAGAAATGTCTGTTCATATCCTTTGCCCACTTTTTGATGGGGTTGTTTGTTTTTTTCTTGTAAATTTGTTTGATTAAGCAGCTGGTGATGCCATTTATATGTATAAAGATTTCATGAGGATCAAAATAGACAGTTGGGAAGTCGTAAATCAACAAGTCTTCTTTTGCTTATTATGTCTGACATGCTGCATCAGACAGGTCACCAGCAAGAAAGAGGGGACTCACAGAGTAAGCTCAAGTTTAATGTTTACAGAGGTATGGGTGCCATTAAGGGAGCTATCACAGCAGCCAGGGACTCCCAACAGTTGGAAATCATCACTGCCCAGTACCACTAGGTCTGAAAGGGGAGGGGAAGGAAAGCATTATTGGATGCAGTGTGCAAGTGGCCATGAGAAAGGATATAGGAGCTGTGGAATTTGGTAGAGAATAGGGCCACTGACATATCACAGCTGAACAGGAGGTAGCAGAAGTGGCAGTTTATCCATTCTCTCTCTCTTTCTGCTTGTCCATATCCTACAGGTGCTTCTGTCTGGTGGAACCCAACCAGACCCAGAGGTCCTAAGAACCTAGGCAATGTAGTTAGTAGAGAGCCTGGCATAGGGCAGGGCAGAGACATGTGGAGAATGAATCTGAGGGCAACAGAAAAAACAGCACCCATGTCCCCAAGAGCACTTTAAGAAGGCAAATAGACATTCAAAGTTGGAGTGCAGTGGAGAAGTAAGGGCAGAGATGTCAACTGGAAAATATTCAGCATTTCAGTAGTATATGACAAATATTAAGAGCCAATATTTTTCAAGCCCTTACTCTGTGCTAGGCAACATACCAACATTTCTTGTGCATTATTATCTCAGTTAATTCTCCTAATGAAGCTATAGGTTAAATGCCATTATCTTATTGTACATATCAGGCAACTGAAGCCCAGTACAGTGAAGCAATTTGTTTAAGGTCACACAGCTATTAGGTGGCAGATCCAATAATTAAGTCAGCCATTTCTACCCCCAGGGCCAGTGATAGAGATCATTACTACACACAGCTTCTCTGTCTGAGAGCATCAAATGTTGGAACAATGCATATTGGGTCACATGATTTTTTTTTTTTTGTAAATTCCTTTCTTTTTTATTTTTTCTCCTTTTGAAAGAAAACATTTCTGACAAGAATTCATCAAAGAAGAGATTCCAAATTTTAATGTCCCAGTTTGAGTATTGCTTTTGATTAAGGCTGTTTGCAGACTAGAATATTAGTACCCCTCCTATTCCCTGTACCACAAAAAGAGATTCGTTTTTATCTTGGGAACAAAGCTGTGTAGAAAAGCTTTTTTAAGCTTTTTTAAGATTTTTTAATTCATGAAACATTTATCTTCGAGTCAGGTTTTGTTACAGTAGCACAAATGTGGTCCGTCAGCATTTTCTTTATAACCCCATATTTCCAGGGCTTTTCAAGAGTGCCATCGAGATTCTACTTTGAATTAAAACTTGGCATTCAGAATTTGAAAAAAAAAAAAAACCTACTACATTTTTCCTTACCAATTAATCAAATAGTTTAGAGATTCTCAAGTTAGAAAAGGACCAAATGCAAAACTTTTATTAATACAAAAAATATTTTAAGACAATTTTGCTAATTTATATCTTTGTAAAAATATTAGCACTCAGTATACAAGTATTAATATTACATCACTGTATATTAGCTCTCAAAATTAACCAAAATGTTACTAAGATAATATAAAAAACGATGACATCTTGTGCTTTGCCTTTTTGGCTTTGTGAGTAATTTATTTCTATTTTGGGAATTGGGATGATTTGAAGTTCTTAGCATAACTGGTTTAAAGTTATAATAGCATCAAGATACTAAACCATAATAACAAGGGTGGTTGGAATACTGAGAGAGTATCAAAGTGTTCCAATTTATTTTTGTGAAATTTAAATTTATGTGGGGAAATTTTACACTCTGTGAACAAAGATTCGTAGCATGAATTGATTCTTTAAATTGATATTTGGAAGTTAACTTGCTAAGTATAATGGTGATAATGAGGACAAAGTAGAGCTTAGTGATAAAGTCTTTCCAACTTTGCTTGGTTCAGAAATACTCCATGAATGGCCAATAACAGTGAGGGGCATCATGATGATCTATCTTTTATAGCTCATTTTGCAGTCTTTTCTGTAATCTCTCCCAGCCTTCAAAGATTTAAGGTTAAGTAAATACAAGGTAGTGAATGAGAGCAAAGACTTTTCAGTGAATCTACTCTTCTGACTGACTTCTCTCCAGCCACACTGGCTTTCTTGTTGTTCCAGAAATGTGTGAGGCAAACATCTACTTGGGGATGTTTGCTCTAGTTTTTCTTTCTACCTGGAACACTTTTCCTCCAGATGTCTGCTTGGCTAACTCCCTTACTATACTTTCATTCTTTATTCAAACCTCATCTTCTGAGTGAGGTCAAACTGGGTAACTCTACTTGATAATGTGATTTCCCTTAGTTCCCAAATCCCAAAGTTCCTAGTGTTACTAACCTTGACTGACATTTTCTTTTCAGACTTACTATCTTCTAGTACATTTTATGCCTTTATAACAAAATGCCCATCTCCCCCACTAGAATATAAGGTCCGTGAGAATAAGGTTCTTTGTCTATTTGTTGACATATCCTAAGCACCTAGAATTGTGCTGACAAATATTAATTGCTCAAAAATATTTGTTGAATGAACAAGTCGTTGAATGAAATCTGAATTTCCAAACATGTAGCAAGACTCTCCAAGCAATAATCCACCTATGACTTTCCCTTGTTCTCCTACAGAATTTGGGTTATTTCCCTACAAGAGTAAAGAACGCCCTTTGAACATTGGTGTTCAAAATGAAAGGCCCCACATTTAGATACTTAGATCCCTATTATAATGTGTTATAGGTCCATCTTTCATGGAAACATTTAAACTGAAGCTTGGATGTTTTTGTAATTAATTTTAATTTTAGCTATTATTTGGATAAGTTAAATTGAATGAATAGATGTATGTTTGTTTTTCACAAAACAAATGCTTATTCTATATTTAAAAATGCCACTGTACATATTTTATAAATTTTTGTACATGTAATGATGTTAATGCTGAACTGTGAAAATTCAAGAGCTAAAATGTGATTCTATAATTTAAAAAGAAAAAGAGAGCCCCCACCGTCTACCCCCAGCAGCAGTAGATATGCTGTGCTGAAAACAACAGCTTTCTAATAAGGGATTTATTAATAGTCCTTGGCCTCAGGGCTTGAAAGCTATGCTAATTGAGAAATAAAGCCACTTAGTGAGAGTTTACTACCAGCTCAATGGAGTAAAAGCAACAACAGTAGAATTTCAGTGTAGATACCAGTACTATAGTGTGCTCCCCACTCTAGTTCTGTATGATTCTGAATAGTAGTTGATAGCAAAAGCTAATATTTTCTATGGTGAGAATGTATTAATTCTGGGGAGAGGGGCTAAAATTACTTTAAAACTTAAATAAAAGCATTTTTGAATTCCTTTTTACATTCCAAATGAAATTTATTTGACTTTATTTCTGCTTTGTCTTCCTAGGGTATATGTGAACAGTCACTTTATGGTCACATGCATTCTATCAATGATGCCATTTTTGATCCCAGGGTAAGTTCAGTTCTCCCAGTAAATTGTTTTTAATGCTTCATATATACAAATTCATTTTTATTAAACAAATTTCCAAGCTAAAATGGTAAGTTAATGGGGTGAGAAGAACAACTTTAGAAATTAGTTGTAAACAATAGGAAAAGTCCATAGATATACAGGGTTGCAGAATTTTAAAATTCACACACACACACCCCCCACCCCAAGTCACGGCAGGAGTGACAAGGAATTCTACTGTAGTCAACTTTACTCAAACACATTTTTAAGATCCTTTTGTCCAATTTGGGCTTCAAAAAAATAGGTGGGCTATAGACTGCATAAAATTTTAATGCAAAATCATTAAAATAACTATAATCGCTCTGTAATTTTTCTGTAAGAAAACCTGGAGAAGAAAAAGCAGTTAAACAAATTTTCTCCAATTTAGAACAGAACAATCTTGATTTGACAGCTTTTTAATTACTCATGAAAAAGTTTCAAATATGTCCTTCTTCATATAAACTGATGACAAAACAAAAATGTTTATCTGCCACTGGAGGTATTCATTCACATGTAAGGATGATTTCACCAACAATGAAGAGTGTTGGAGAGTCCTTTGTGTTTTCTATGGTTTGAATGTATTCCTCCAAGTTTGTGTGTTGCAAACTCAATCCCCAATGCAACAGTGTTTGGAGGTGGAGCCTTATAGGAGATGTTTAGGTCTTGAGGGTAGTGCCCTCCCCGCTGAATGGGTTGTCTTTTAAAGAAGTTGAAGCTGCAAGTTCTATCCTTTTGCTCTCTTGCTCTTTTGTCCTCTCACCCTCTGATATGGGATGACACAGCACAAAGGTCCTCATAAAGTGGTGGTGCCATGCTCTGGGACTTCCCAGCCTCCAGAACTGTGAGAAATAAATTTATTTTCTTTAAAGTTATCCAGTTTGTGGTTTTCTGTCATAGCAACAGAAAACGGATTAAGACAGTTGCCAAGTTAATTGAGGATGTGTTTAAAAGGGTTCAGATAGTAATTAAGGAAGGATGATTTAAGTCTATTCTCAGATGAAAGAGATTTGACTAAATAGATGACCTCTTAAGTTCATTTAAACTCTATGATTTAAGTCTATCTAGCATTTTGGTTGTCTGGAAGTTCCCAGTAGAGTGAGAATCTTAATTCCAAATTCCACTTCTTTTCCAATTAGCTATAAAAGATATCTGATGAATTACTTACATCTAACTTCACAATGATAGCATAGTCAGAATTCTGTTACCATCATGCTAGTATCATTCTTTTAGAAAGAGGAAAAATGCTCACTAAAAATTATGTCTACTAAGGGAATGTTGATTGCTCCAATTGAAATTGTGATTGTGTCATTGTCAGGCTTGGGCATTTTAATGATGGGCTCAACCAAAATTACATTTTAATAGATTGGTTTTTGTAAGAAATATTCCATCTAATTTTCTGTAGTGAGCCAATTAGTTGGAAAGTATTATAGATTAGTTCTAGATACCAAGGAATATTTTATTTCTAGCAGGGTATGGAAACATTTCAGTACTATGGACCCATTATGAAACAGAATATAGTTTTATGTTAGAAGTCCATTAAGTGGCTTATAGCTTCATATGCCCTACAAAAATTAAATGGGAACTGAAATGAATAATACTTTGTAAATCAGGCATTTTGTTTTGGCAAGCAATATTATAACTGCAAAAGACACAGCATTTTACATTCTAAATATTAAACTTAATAAATATGGAAATAAGCAAATTAGATGTATTGAATCACCAATAAAGAGAGACATACATTAATTACCCATATTTCAAAGGGCGAGATAACAGATATGAGATTTAGGTGTCCAATGTCAAAGTAGCTAATATTTTCTTTTATTATTATACTTCAAGGTCTAGGGTACATGTGCACAATGTGCAGGTTTGTCACATAGGTAAACATGTGCCATGTTGGTTTCCTGCATCCACCAGCTTGTCATTTACATTAGGTATTTCTCCTAATGCTATCCCTCCCCCATACCCCCACCCCCTGGCAGGCCCCAGTGTGTGATGTTCCCTGCCCTGTGTCCAAGTTGTTCATTTCCCACCTATGAGTGAGAACATGCAGTGTTTGATTTTCTGTCCTTGTGATAGTTTGCTCAGAATGATGGTTTCTAGCTTCATCCATGTCCCTGCAAAGGACATGAAATCATCCTATTTTATGGTTACATAGTATTCCATGGTGTATATGTGCCACATTTTCTTAATCCGGTCTATTATTGATGGACATTTGGGTTGGTTCCAAGTTTTTGCTATTGTGAATAGTGCTGCAATTAACATATGTGTACATACGTCTTTATAGTAGCATGATTTATAATACTTTAGGTATATACCCAGTAATGGAATTGCTGGGTCAAATGTTATTTCTAGTTCTAGATCCTTGAGGAATCGCCACACTGTTATCCCAAATGGTTGAACTAATTTACACTCTGACCAACGGTGTAAGGGTGTTCCTATTTCTCCACATCCTCTCCAGCATCTGTTGTTTCCTTTTTAATGATTGTCATTCTAACTGGCATGGGATGGTATCTCATTGTGGTTTTGATTTGCATTTCTCTGATGACTAGTGATGATAAGCATTTTTTCATGTGTCTGTTGGCTGTATGAGTGTCTTCTTTTGAGAAGTGTCTGTTCATATCCTTTGCCCACTTTTCGATGGGGTTGTTTGATTTTTTTCTTGTAATTTGTTTCTTTGTAGATTCTGGATATTAGCCCTTTGTCAGATGAGTAGATTGTAAAAATTTTCTCCCATTCTGTAGGTTGCCTGTTCACTCTGATGGTAGTTTCTTTTGCTGTGCAGAAGCTCTTTAGTTTAATTAGATCCTGTTTGTCTATTTTGGCTTTTGTTGCCATTGCTTTTAGTGTTTTAGTCATGAAGTCCTTGCCCATGCCTATGTCCTTAATGGTACTCCCTAGGTTTTCCTCTAGGGTTTTTATGGTTTTAGGTCTAACATTTAAGTCTTTATTCCATCTTGAATTAATTTTTGTATAAGGTGTGAGGAAGGGACCCAGTTCAGGTTTCATCATACAGCTAGCCAGTTTTCCAAGCACCATTTATTAAATAGGGACTCCTTTCCCCATTTCTTATTTTTGTCAGAGTTGTCAAAGATCAGAGATTGTAGATGTGTGTTGTTATTTCTGAGGCCTCTGTTCTGTTTCACTGGTCTATATCTCTGTTTTGGTACCAGTACCATGCTGTTTTGGTTACTGTAGCCTTGTAGTATAGTTTGAAGTCAGGTAGTGTGATCCCTCCAGCTTTGTTCTTTTTGTTTAGGATTGTCTTGGCAATGCAGGCTCTTTTATGGTTCCTGAACTTTAAAGTAGTTTTTTCCAATTCTGTAAAGAAAGTCATTGGTACCTTGATGGGGATGGCATTGAATCCATAAATTACCTTGGGCAGTATGGTCATTTTCACAATATTGATTCTTCCTATCCATGAGCATGGAATGTTCTTCCATTTGTTTGTGTCCTCTTTTATTTCATTGAGCAGTGGTTTGTAGTTCTCCTTGAAGAGGTCCTTCACATCCCTTGTAAGTTGGATTCCTAGGTATTTTATTATCTTTATGACTATTGTGAATGGAAGTTTACTCATGATTTGGCTCTGTTTGTCTGTTATTGGTGTATAGGAATGCTTGTGATTTTTGCACAATGATTTTGTATCCTGAGACTTTGCTGAAGTTGCTTATCAGCTTAAGGAGATTTTGGGCTGAGACGATGGGGTTTTCTAAATATACAATCATGTCATCTGCAAACAGGGACAATTCAAGAGCAGGTTGTTCAATCTCCATGTAGTTGTGCGATTTTTAGTGAGTTTCTTAATCCTGAATTCTAATTTGATTGCACTGTGGTCTGAAAGACAGTTTGTTGTGATTTCTGTTCTTTTACATTTGTTGAGGAGTGCTTCCAATTATGTGGTCAATTTTAGAATAAGTGCGATGTGGTGCTGAGAGGTATGTATATTCTGTTGATTTGGGGTAGAGAGTTCTATAGATGTCTATTAGGTCTGCTTGGTGCAGAGGTGAGTTCATGTCCTGGATATCCTTGTTAACCTTCTGTCTGGTTGATCTGTCTAGTATCGACAGTGGGGTGTTAAAGTCTCCCATTATTATTATGTGGGAGTCTAAGTGTCTTTGTAGGTCTCTAAGGACTTGCTTTATGAATCTGCGTGCTCCTGTATTGGGTGCTTGTATATTTAGGATAGTTAGCTCTTCTTGTTGAGTTGATCCCTTTACCATTATGTAATGGCTTCTTTACCATTATGTGATGGTATCTTTTGATCTTTGTTGGTTTAAAGTCTTTTATCAGAGACTAGGATTGCAACCCCTGCTTTTTTTTTTTTTTTTTTTTTTCTTTCCATTTGCTCGGTAGATCTTCCTCCATCCCTTTATTTTGAGCCCATGTGTGTCTCCGCTCATGAGATGGGTCTCCCGAAGGCCTCACACTGATGGGTCTTGATTCTTTATCTAATTTGCCAGTCTGTCTCTTTTAATTGGGGCATTGGCCTATTTACATTTAAGGTTAATATTGCTATGTGTGAATTTGATACTGTCATTATGATGTTAGCTGGTTATTTTGCCCATTAATTGATGCAATTTCCACGTATCATTGATGATCTTTATAATTTGGCATGTTTTTGCAGTGGCTGGTACTGGTTGTTCCTTTCCATGTTTAGTGCTTCCTTCAGGAGCTCTTGTAAGGCAGGCCTGGCGGTGACAAAATCTCTCAGCATTTGCTTGTCTGTAAGGGATTTTATTTCTTCTTCTTTTATGAAACTTAGTTTGGCTGGATATGAAATTCTGGGTTGAAAATTCTTTAAGAATGTTCAATATTGGCCCCCTCTCTCTTCTGGCTTGTAAGGTTTCTGATGAGAGATCCACTGTTAGCCTAATGGGCTTCCCTTTGTGGGTTACCTGACCTTTCTCTCTGGATGCCCTTAACATTTTTTCCTTCATTTCAACCTTGATGAATCTGACAATTATGTGTCT